ATACTTTTTAACATTGGATGCAGTCAGGTTAGCTGTTTCTGCTCACTTCCTGTTTATGTTAAGTTACAGTAATAACCGTGTGACTGTGGTTCCATAACCAGGGCACATACCACATACATGATGACAAAAGTGAAGTGTTTCAAATGTTAAATCTTGTTTTTCCAGAGATGCGCAAGATGGCAGCGTTTGTAGGAGGAAACGGAGAAGGTCGTCCATATTTATTTACACTCTATGATACAGGCATGTGTGTAACACATGCGTATTTGTTTGTGTACTAATTTATCAAAAGAAATGTTTCGTGTTTATACTGAAATTTTAAGGATTATAGGTAGAAATTTACTTTGCATGGAGCTAGACTGGTTGTTTCCACTAGCCTTTCATCTTCATGCTAAATAAGCAAATAGCCTCTGAGCTCTGGCTCCATACTTAACATACAAACATAATGCAATCATCGTCCTATCCACTTCCTGGTAGGTAATCAAATGTATTTCTCAGAATTTCCATAAATGCTGCATGTGACCAAGCACATATTAGGAAAAATAAATGATACATAAAATAGGGAATTTTGTTAAAACTTTCCATGAACTGTCACTGGCTGAGCATAGACCACAATTCAATGATGAACATCTCATGTATTTTCTGTACCTAGCTCAGCAGTCTAAAATTAACTTCAGCTTCCCAGATATGTGTATGTCACCTGTGACAGTTTCTTCCTGTTTCAGGAGGAAGCTGTCGCTCCATTATTACAGTAATCACTCAGTGGACCTTTAGCCTGCTCGTCAACTCATCCATCTCCCGTGTGGGCCCAGTGACACAGCACTTCAAGGCCCACAGTTAACACAAACTACACCCACGGCATGTTTTCACAGTGCGTGGCTTTATATAAAGAGGAGTATTTGAGTATGACAACCTCACACATGGCTGTTCTCCACAGCTTGTATTGAATGATGGGTAGGCCTGTTTGCTCTTTAATGAGTCAGGCTGATTCTTTGTCAGAGACACCTCATCAAAACGGTGCTTCGTGAAAAACTCTTATGTAACCTTAATGTACTATGATGCGATTTTCATAGAGACATAACTGAAGACAGTCCAAGATTATTAATATCGAAAAACCGCTGGGGAACCAGGTTTTATGGTTTGAATGGTGGAAAAGCAGAGTTTCTACCTGTTTTAGTGAAAACATCAGAGACTCACTGATTGAAACTTTCAAACTGAGGTGAACATCTCCGAGATCCTCCCCTCTGTCGACTCGGTTTCGCGCTGAATGCGCAAATGCATATTTTTCGGGGAAGTGTGGGTGTATTTCGCAGAAGGGGTAATACCTTTATTTCCCTCCCCAGGGATTCCCACGGTGATATGCACACACACACACACACACACACACACACACACA